CCCCCCCGTCCCCCTACACTACACACTCCTACCCCTCAGCCTCTAGTCGAACCCCTCCTCCTCCACACAAAAACTGGAGAGCATGTTCTTAGAAGCTACATACCCAGAAAATGGCTTAGAGCTGAGCCGGATGGGAGGTGGTCATTTTGTCCTCCAGCCCTCCCTGCAGTCTCATTTTACAAAGGGGCAAACTGAGGCCCTGACTAGGGAACGTGCACCTAGATGTTCCCAGCCAGGCATTTCCCCTTCTCCATACTCTGTGAGTCTCTGCTTACCACTAAACCTACCCAAGGCCTGGTGCCTGGCACACAGTTGAATGTTCTGCAAGTATCTGTTGAAAGAATGTCAGGCCACTGCAAGAGAAAGACAAGCTTAAAAAAAAAAGTATGGCTTGCACATGCAGAAGCTCAATAAGTATTTGTTGGCTTTATGAACGAGTAGGGCTATATGTGTGAAAAAGACTCCCATCTTGCCTCTCAGAACCTACATTCTGTCAGGTGCAGTGGCTCACGCCTGTAATCCCAGCAATTTGGGAGGCCAAGGTAAGGGGGTTGCTTGAGCCCTGGAGTTCGAGTCCAGCCTGGGCAACATCTCCACAAAAATAAAAAAATTAGCCCACTGTGGTTGTGCAGGCCTGAAGTCCCAGCTACTTGGGAGGCCAAGGCAAAAGGATTGCCTGAGCCCAGGAGGTCAAGGCTGTGGTGAGCTGTGATCATGCCACTGCCTTCCAAACTGGGCAACACAGTGAGACTCCAACTCAAAGAAAAAAAAAAAAAAGAATCATGTACAAATGAGCAAGTCCATAAACAAGATTCCTTCAGGGCTTGATAAAAATGACGTACAATACTTAAATAAGAGCAATCGGTCAGTGGGAGGCAGGATTGGGTGAGCTCAAAATTGAGTGATCAGAGAGGTGGCATTGAAGTAGAAGCCACCTCAGATAATCTTCTAGTTCCAACCTCCCCTCTTTTTCTTTCTTTCTTTTTTTTTTTTTTTGAGTAGGAGTCTCACTCTGTCACCCAGGCTGGAGGGCGGTGGCACGCTCCTGGCCACTGCAGCCTCAACCTACTAGGCTCGGGCAATCCTTCCACCTCAGCCTTCCAAGTCGCTGGAACTAGAGGCACACGCCACCACACCCAGCTAATTTTTTTATTGTAGAGATGGGGGGGGTCTCACCAAGTTGTCCAGACTGGTCTCGAACCCGTGGGCTCGGGCAATCCTCTCACCTCGGCCTCCCAAAGTGCTGGGATTATAGGCATGAGCCACCACGCCCGGCCTCCCCCTAACTCTTAACAGATGGGGAAACTGAGGCCTGAGAGGGAGCTAGGGACAGATGGAGGTCATCGAGTGAGTGTAATCTGCAAGGCCTTCAGCAGGGTGGGGCTACTTTAGATAGTTGGTCAGGGCCCACTGCTCTGCAGAGGACAATTGAGCTGAGAGGCCTGAATAACAATATGTGGAACTCCAAGATATCAGCATCTGAAATCAGCATCTGGGCTGGGGACACCTGGGGGAGGACAGGCTCTGGCCCTGACCTCAGGGGGCTTGCGCTGGGTGGGGGAGAGGACAGTCAACAAACAGTTCTACACTCTCATGTGGTCGGTGCCAGGAAGAACCCTCGTAAAGGATCGAGGGTGGGGTAGGGTGTCGATGCCACTTCAAACAGTGAGCAGAGAGAGCTGCTGAGAGGAGGGAGGTTCACGGGCCCCGGCAAGACAGGTGAAACGGTCGGCTGTTTGGTTTCAAGGGTGACTCCTTGTCTAGGGGCAACGTAGATGTACATGATGACAACCCTCCTCTGTTCAAAACCTTCCCAAGGCTCCTGTCTTGGCAAAGCCAAAAGACCTTAAAGAGGTCAAAAGACTCTTCTGGATCTGGCCCCATTTTCTCACTGAACTCAATCCTCCGCCCATGTTCCCCCCTCCCCTTCCTTGTGATTCCTTAATGCACAGGCCCTCTGGCTCTTACCTGCCCCAGGTCTCAGTTCCAACATGCCCTTCCCCGGCTAAGGGGAGGAAATTGAAGCCCCCCACCCAGTAGCCCTGTCCCTCTTCCTAGCTTTATGTTACTCCTGGCACCGGTCTTCATCTTGTTTATTGTGTCTCCCCCACAGTATAAACTGCGTGCGGGCAGAAATTATTGTCTGTTTTGTTCACTGCTGTATTCCCAGTGCTTAGAACAGAGCCTGGCGCACAGGGGGCGCCCAATAAATGTTTGCTGAATGAATTTTTATCGTAATGCATCCAGTGGAAGAGTCTACGTTACTTTGAAGCCCCTAAGGAGCGTGGCCTACCATTTTCTCACTTGGGGACGTGTGTGGGCATCTCGCGCCTCAGTTTTACCAGCCCTAAGATGGGATCAGGAATGGCAGATGCGGTGCCTTGTGGGAACTGGGTGTGATTAAGCTTGGCCACTAAGCCAGACGCAGTGGGCACCGCCTTGATGGAGTTTGGCGGCCGGCGGGGCCCCTCCGTCCCCTCCCACGAGGCCCCGCCCCGGTGGGCGGAGCCACGGGTCCGGCCAGCACGTGTAAGAGTTCGCGGCGGGTCGCCGCAGTCACTCACCTGAGCGCGCACGGTCCGCGC